GATATTTGATCCAGGATCAACTATTTTTAACTTTTGGGATGATTTGGAATAGATAAAATGTTTTGGTAAACTTTCTATTCGTGGATTACATTAACAATTTATTAACAGAGAATTTTGAAAGTTTAATTTTGTCTTGCTTTAGTATTATTTATTCTTCCTATTAATGATTTTGTTACTAATATAATATATAGAAGGCAGGTCAATAACTTGCAAATAGATTTATTAGTTTAAAAATTGCGGGTGGGCTGTTTCACAGGGATGGGATATCAATGTCATAGTAATGTATTAATCAGTATTCAGTGTTCAATCAGTATTCAATAATATCTGTATATGTGTTGGGGGATTTTTGATGCACCCTTTTTCTTTTTTAATGTCTTATTTTGTGTTCTTTTCTTTTTTGCCCTTTTTGTGGATTTTTTGCAGTTTTGTATTTCAACCTTATCTTGAATAAAATAAAAATAAACAGAAAAAAATAAGACCGGAACAGTACCATTTGTGTGATGACTCATATTACAAGCAGTATATGGATTAGCAATAACAATATTAAATTTCAGGCTAGCATAGTTTGCTGATGACTCACCTATTTATTTCTGAGGGTTGCTTTAATTGTTTCTATGAATAACAACAACAATTTTTCATCACGGTCTTAGACTAGAGACCAGAACAAATAAAAGCACTCAGTATATATACACGTAAAAATTCTAGTATAAAATAATAAATAACAACTAAAATCTATAATAAAATCTAGTATCAATTATACATGGTCTGTCTATACGATAGTTGCACTGTGTGGCTGGTTGTAGGTTCAACGCTAAAAGGGAAATGACTAAGCAGTGCAAAGGGTTTGCACAATTGTTATATAACATCACTATAGTGGAGAAGACACATGTTTGCGACAAATCCCCAGTGCTGCTGCACAGAATCTAGCCACCTGCGCTGTAGTTATGGACTGTTCATCTTTAAGCAGTCACTGAAGATAGGTAGTGTTGGAACGGCCAGGATACCTAGCAGTTATTGGCAGAATATGTTTTTTTTCCTAATCTTCGTATAAAAGGAACATCTAAGGAGCATGTGACCCACAGTCTCCATCTCTTCTGAGTTGCAGGGACAGAGTCTTTCCATGAATGGTATCCTTTTATACTTGCCATACAGGATGGTTGATGGAAGTGCATGGCACCATGCAAGTGCAAATGCTTTCCGGTGGTTTGCTGACTCCAACTGACAGCTGGCAGGAGCAACAACAATTCTAATGGCATCTGGAGCCAGAAACAGTGGAGCTTTCCCTAAGTCTGCCTGCCTCTCAATGTCCTCCACCCTTTGTCACAAAGGTTTGTCTTGCTAGATCATAGTCCATCTTGAGTATTAAAGCTGGGGAGAAATCTAGTTTGACAAGGTTGGACTCGACAGCCTTGGATCCACTCCTGAAATAGTGTCACCAAGATAGAACCATTGCTTTAAATCCAGGCTGCAACAGCCCTCACACTGATAAGCCTGAGGCTGCTGCAGTTGAATTGACCCTGAGAAGGCAAAGGAGTGATATGCAAGCTGTGTTACCCACAGCTGCAGAAACTGCTAAGGATATGCCAGAAGAAATGGTGATAGACCTATTCAGTGCATTGCCGGAACCTGAGCAAGTTAATATTATTCAAAGATTGGATGATCTAAAAGAGGCTCTGACAACAACCCAATCTACAGCAAAGTCTCTATTCAATTTAGCTCCACCAATCACTCAGCCTTGTGACAATATATTTACCCAACAATCTGCCTTTACCTCAATAGCAAAAAAAGGTAGTGTCACACAGGCTGACAGTGGGGTAACTGCACTGACTGGACCCAGACTCTGAGAAACAGCTGAAAGACAAAATGTTTCATCACACAGTGCCCCCTAAAACGACAAACACTAAGGATATAATCCAGCTTCCACCCTCATTTGAGTCATAAATTCCATCCACTTCTTCTCACAAAATGAATCCTCAGCTACGTCCCTCCAAAAATGGACATAAATCTACATGGGTTTTGGATGTAGATTTTGCTGAGACAGTTGCTAAAGGTGAAGATGCTCTGATCTAGCCACCAGCTGGTGATCAGAGATAGAAACAGAGGCATGTCTCAGTGCCCCACATAAATGTGGAGGCTACCCTTGATGTTGAGGATGATGTCCCCTTAGACTTACAAGATATGCCAAATTCTGGGTTAAATGAATCAATGAGCAAACAATATCTAGCTCTTGGTGTCAACAGTACTCAGCATAATTATCTTCCAGCAAGCGCCCCATACAGACATTATGAAACCAGTGCAAGAAAAACACCTTAAGTATTATGTCATGGAGTGTAGCTGGGTGGTACCATTTTAGAGGCCTAAATTACCCCGATCTTCTGATAGATAAGGATATCATTGGTGCAATGAAAATCTTTCATGATATCCTTGGATGACCTTCTGTTAAACGGTTATCACTCGCACAGAAGCAAGGACAGGCAGAGGCCCAGGAAGACTGAAGGGAGGGCTGGGTATTTCCATTTCTACCAACTTGAAAACAGAGCCCACTCTTATTGCCCAATTAAAACATATGGCTGTGGCCCTTCTCCTCAAGCTGGACTCAGTCCTGCTGTTAATACTTAATGTTTATCTTCCGCCATCATTAAGAAAAGCTGAAATCACTGCGGTATGGAAAGTTGGAACATTATATTAGTAAACTTCACATGAACCATCCAAAAGCCAGGGTCTTACTAGGGGGAGACTTCAATGCTAGATTGGGACCAGATGATTATACACTATATATAAAATACCATCATTATCCACCATCAGAGGTTCTCATAAGAACCAGCTCCTGCCTCACACAACTCTCTAAAGACAAGAGAGCAAATTTCATTGGCCTCTGTCTTGTAAAGATGGCGAATAAATTCAACTTTTTTATATCCAAAGGCTCTTGGGCTGGCGACTATCCTGGTGAGATTACATTTATGGCAGGGTCCAAAATTAGCACCATGGATTAAATCCTAACTTCTATGGATTTATTACATTACGTAGAAAATTTTGAAGTCTTACCTTACCTGGAAAGCTATCATCCACCTTTGTGTATATACATGAAGCCTTTCATCTGGCAATTTCGGGGGCCAATTTATTCCTGCAATTTCTTCAGCAGGCTCAACAAGATATAGGGTCAAATGGTCCCAACAACTTGACCAGAAGGTGAGGAGAGCTCTATCAGAGAACAATCTTCAAAAACTTCACCTGGCCTATATTACAGCCAACCCTTCCCAAGATTTACTAGAACTATATAAAAACATAGTTCATAAGCTACAACCATTACTAGTATATGACTGGAACTTCTCAGCTAAGAGGCCCTGTATCATCTCCTAACCATGGTTTGACAAGGATTGTATAGAAGCCAAGAAAGCTCTCACCTTGGCTTATAAGATGTACAAAAGCGAGACTGGGAATGGTAATAAAATATGCAGTTGCCTTGAGCCAAAGATCAGCGAGCACCATTCTTAATTTTTTCCGCACAAAGGGAGGATATTATGTCCCAGGTGCAATTAAGCTTTTTCTGACCAAGTCGCTAGCACAGCTTCTTTATGGGACCTTGCTCGGACCATCAGCTTCGTGTTTTAAACCATTAGAAATAGTTCAATCCTAATTCATTAGATCATTTCTCCAGATGCCGTGTTGTGTCTCAAATGCACTTCTGCGCCTGGAGACAGGATTGACAAAAGTCGAAGCAAGAATCTGTATAGCGTCCTTAAATCTCTAGCTAAAGCTTCACTTCTTTCCGCAAGGTCTTGCTCCATTAATCCTCCAAGACAAATTCTTTTCATCATGGACTCACCAATAGGTATATAACATCTTTACTCACCAGTGGAGAAAGTCCCCTAGTAGGTATTAAATTCTAAAATTTTCAAATGGAAGCAAAATTGTTGTTCAGGGTTTGTTTGTTTTTTTATTTGGGTTGGTGTGCATATTCAGAGATATCCTATTTACATACATGTAATAAAAACTTTGTCTCTTGGCATGCTTCATTAGAAAAACAACTTATTTCTTATATATATAGCTGTATGTATTTTGAATTATTCCCTAACAAATGTATTGTTTTAATTTTTTTCTAAAAAAGTAGATCTTTTAATTCCACAATATTTTTTTCAGTCAGAACCGTCATAAATTATCAATGAAAGATTATAATGGGGCCAAATTAACTTTCCCATCAAGTAAAGCTTATTTTATACAAGATTGTTTAAACAATTCTCTTTTGCATTGTTGACTCTACTTTTTTTCTTCAAAGTGCTTTTCTTTGAAGGTGCTTTTTGTTTGTTTGTTTAATTTTTTTCCTGCCACATTACTTTTCATATTTTAAAGTCATGTTCATACCTTTATAGCCTCTTTCCTCTGTATCAATCTACCACTTGTTATGTTTTGTTTTGAAATTCTGGTTCTTTTTTTTAAAATAATTTTTATTAAACAGTTTTTTTAAAAAAACAAACAAAAAACTCCTCAGATATTTACATCTTCTTCTTTTCAACATCTTCGCATCAGTAATCCATATTTATACATTTTTCTCTTGAAATTCTGGTTCTTATTTACTACCTAATTAGTATACGATTTGTGGTTGGTCTTCCATTTCATACTCCATCTAATTTATTAGTCTTTGGCAACAGTCCACTATTCATTGTTCATGTTATCCATTGTTTTGATATTCTTCCTCCTTTAGCAAGGCAATTTGATACTCTCAAATGTTTGAAGTGAAAAAGATAGAAATTATTTACTTTGAATGGCAGGTTGGGGAATAATGGTTTCACTTATTTCTGGTTTGCTATGTCTATTGTGGCTTACACTTAACCTACACACAGCTCAGTTTATATCAATAATGGAGGCTATAAAATTCTATCCTCTAATATCTTCTCAAATGATGATACAATGTCTTATTAATCTCTTTCATTTGTCCTGAGGTAGTATGGGTTTTTTTTAACCCAAGAACAATAATCTTCTTATTTCTTTCTTCTGTACAGGCTGGCATGGCCTTGACATATGACCCTACAGCTACTATACAGAATGGGTGAGTAACATACACTTTATTGTTTTTAAGGGCATTGTGATCTTTTCTAAAGCAGTTTTAAATTGTGAACACAATTTCAAAGCAAGTCATAGCAGTATTATTTGAGACAACTTAAATATGTATTAAGCAGGAAAAATCATTTTCCCTCATTTATTTCTAGATTATTAGTTATGAATTGGGAATGATTGAACTGAATTTAAAAAATATTTGCTTCAATTTTTATATTCTCTAAAGCTAACTTATTGACACTGGTCAAGTTGTTCAGGGCTATGAGTAGGAGGCATATTTCAAAGAATCTTGAACACCCAGCAAGCATTACTATTCATTTATCTATTCATTATGTATGTATGGCATTTATGTGTCACAAGTGGAATACTGATTTTATTCCTACAAAAAGCACTCTTATAGGTAAATAGAACTGAGAAGAGATTGAATGGGCCAATGTAACTTCTGAAATCCATAGTTGGATTTTAAATATGAATCTCCCTGCTCCAAAGTCAATAATTCAACCATTAGACTAAGCTTTCTCTTCAGGGAATAGTTACACACTATTACTGAATAATGTGAACACCAAAAGGTTGCATTATTTTTGTTTGTTTAGTAATTTCAGACAGATGCCATGCTTGACAATGTTTTGGAATCAGAAATGGGGCAAGGTTATTCCAGCATGGCTCATATAGCACATTACATAAAATTATTTTGCTTCTCTTCTCCTTGGTACATCTTATGTTTTTCAGGAGAGATAGTCTTTTTATGGATCCAATCAACCAAGAGCTCCATATAATTATGTTATAATGTTTACTTCATTATACGTATACAACAGTTCTTCCCGGTTTGGCCCAGTTCTCCCGAGCTGGTAGTGGTGACAATATGATGTCATTGAACCGGTTCTGCCTCCCGCCCCCCCTGTGCCCCACCCCACCCCTGCCCCCACCCACCAACCCCCACGTTATTCTTACCTTTTATTTGGCCCCACCCCCAATCTATTGCTGCCTCCTGAGTCCCAGCTGATTGCTAAAGGGAAAAAAACTGTTTAAATTCTTACAGCGGGGCTTCAAAGGGCTGCCCTACAGCTGATCAGTGTTAAAAAAAAACAAATGAGTAGACCAGTGCCTGCAAAAATACATGAATAGATCAGTGCCTGCAAAAATAAATGGGTAGACCAGTGCCTACAAAAAATAAATGGGTAGATTGGTACAGCTCTGCAAGCAGTTAAAAGCCTGGTAAACCAGTACCTCTGCTAAATCCTAACTAACTATCACATGACCATCAAGCCATGCCCACAAAATAAGCCATGCCCACAGAACCAGTAATAAAAAATTTTAGAACCCACCCCGGTACACAAGGGAGAGAAGACTTTCTAGAATACAATCCTAAAAAGGCTTTATATTTACTTTTCAATTGTGATAAGGCCAAAGTTGGAGCGGTATAGGAAAATCTTCAACATTCCTAAAATAAGCAAAGTGTTAGGAGTAAGCTACAAGCTGAACCTAACACAAAGTATCAATTGCATCCATGTTTCCCCTGCAAGCCATTCAAAAGTGAGCAAGACAATTGATTAAAAAAACAACTATTTAGAAGTAATTCTGGCAACATTAAGCATAGCCTCAGCTGCCCCCTTCCTTGGCAGAGTGAGGCTGGAGCGTTCGCCAAGGCTCCCAGCATGGTGGTGGGCAAGGACGCTGGGTGAGCCCTGCTTTGCAGGATGAAGTGGGCGGGCATAATTGCAAGTCCAGCCCCGGCTATGGTGAGGAGCAGCGACTGCATCTGGGCACAGGGGCTGAGAAGAAGGAACAGGAGGGGCACAGTGGCCAGGAAAAACACATTTGGGTTTTCCCTTTGGTTACAGGTGTGTGGCCTGACTGTTGCCCAAATGCAAAAGGTTTTGTCTATCAACAGGGATCGGGAGGCTGAAGGCCTCTGTCTTTGTGGCCATGCAATTCCAAAATCAATAGGCTGCTGCTGGGGAAGGGAATCAACTAAGGGCAATGTTAAATCATGGGCGATTGAAGGAAGACTCGAAACAATGTAACTGTAACTCTTTTATTTAACTCCAGAAACAGCAATGGCGATTCAAACCCCGGGCAACCCTTTATATAGGAAGGGGCTGTCCCCGGGTGCAACCACTGACGTGCCTTCTAATTTCCCGCTCTCAGGACTAATTCCTGATTGGCTCATTTGAACTGTACTTGATATCTAACACTCCTCCCCCCTAGTTCAGTGTCCGCCGTCCGGGGTCTCTATGCTACGTAGTCGCGTAAGTAGGCGGGTCGCTTGGAGGTTCGACCGGACCTGCGCAGTTCAGTCGTTCCGGTGCCTTCGGGTTAAGAGGTTGAGGTCCGCTGCTCCCTCTGTGTGGGCTCCGGAACTCTCTCGAACTCGGTCTCCGGCGTGGATTCGCCTCCTTCTCCCACTTTACTTGGCTGTCCCCGCCGGCTCCTTTCGGTGCCTGTCGCCTCCTCCGTGGACTCAGGTACGTGCTCGCTGTTATCTTCTTCCGGGCTGGTGTTAGGCGTGTCCAGAACTAGCGTTTGTGTATTGGCCCGCTCTGGTACCGCTTGCATGTCTTTTCCTTCCCCCTGGTTGTTGTGCTGGGTTTCCCTCTCAACTCTCGTTAATCTTCCCCTGAGCTGGTCGATGTGCCTTTTCCAGTGCTGGCCGTCTGTTGTCTGGACCCGGTAGGACAGGGGCCCCGTCACCTGGGTTATTGTTGCTGGTACCCAGAGTGGGTTTCCGCTCAGGTTTTTTGCGTAGACTCTGTCCCCTGGCTGGAACTCTCGGATTCTGCTTGTGGAGTCGGTTGGCTTCTCTGTGCTGTACTGCGGGTGCAGTCTGTCCAGAGGGGATCTCAGTTTACGGCCCATGAATAATTCTGCTGGGCTTCAGTGGGTCGTGGCGCTTGGTGTAATGTGCTGGATGGCTAATAGTTTATCTAATTTGGCCTGAATGTCCCCTGGGCCTAATCTCATAAGCGTCTCCTTTGTAGATCTCACCATCCGTTCCGCCAAACCGTTCGTCGAAGGTTTTTTGGGGGCCGATAAGGCGTGCCTTATTCCTTGGTCAGCGAGGAACATCTCGAAGGTGTTTGATGTGAACGGCGGCCCGTTGTCGGAGACTATGAGGTCGGGAATCCCATGTGTGGCGAATAGGCGTCTCAATACTTTAATCACTGCGTCTGCTGTCGTCGTCGACATGAGCACTACTTCGAGCCACTTTGAATATGCGTCCACGATGACTAGGAACGTATTCCCTTTGCACGGCCCTGCGAAGTCGATGTGCAATCTGGCCCATGGTGTTCCCGGGTTTTCCCAGTCGTGGACGGGGGCTGAGTTTGGTGCCGCCCTCGACTCTTGGCAATTTGCGCAGGAGGACACCCACGTCTCGATTTCCTTGTCCATCCCGGGCCACCACACGTAGCTTCTGGCCAGGGCTTTCATCCTCACGATCCCCGGATGCCCGTCGTGGAGTAATCTGAGTGTCTGTTGTCTTAGTGTGTTTGGAACAATGACTCTATCCCCCCACAACACGCACCCCCTTAGTCCTGACAGTTCATTTTGCCTTCTTTTGTATGTCAGGAACTCTGTGCTTATGTCTTTTTCCTCCGGCCACCCCTTCCAGATCCAATTTAAAATTCGCGCCAGTATTTTGTCCTTTGAGGTGGCCCTCGCGATGTCGGCTGCAGAAATTCGGGCTTCCTCCATTGTCTCGATTAGCAGGGTGGCCATCGCTGGCGCTGGATCCTCCCCCGTTTCTGGAAGTGGGCACCTGCTGAGGGCGTCTGCATGGTCAATTGATTTTCCCGGGTGGTGGAGCAGTGTGTAGTTGTAGGCCGCCAGAAACTCCACCCATCTTAGCATTCTGGGCGACAAAATGGGGGGTGTTGGTTTGTCCCCTGCTATGATGCCTAACAATGGCTTGTGGTCGGTTATTAGTTCAAAACTCCGACCGTAGAGATACTCATGGAACCTTTTTATTCCGGCTACTGCGGCTAACGCCTCTTTGTCCAATTGGCTATAGTTCCGTTCGGGTTTTGACAAAGTCCGGGAGAAAAATGCAATGGGGGCCTCTGTTCCATTAGGCATCTTGTGGCTCAATACAGCTCCGATGCCGAAGGGGGATGCATCGCAAGTTAGTCTTATGGGTAATGTCCCGCTGTATTGCACTAAAACTCTGTCTGACGTTAAAAGGTTCTTTATGTCTTCGAACGCTTTCCTCTCTCGCTCCCCCCATTTCCATTCTGCCTTCCTGTCCAGTAGCCGGTGGAGTGGTTCAGCAGTGGTAGCTTTCTGCGGTAGGAAGATATTATAAAAGTTAAGCAACCCCAAAAATGCCTGCAGTTCGGTTTTATTTTTTTGGGGGGGTGCTTCCTTGATCGCTCTCAGCTTCCCGGGGGTGGGTCTAATTCCCGACTCATCTATCAAGTATCCCAGGAACTCGACCTGAGTCTCTGCTAGTTGGCACTTGTCCCTTTTAACTTTGAGTCCCACTTTCTGGAACCTTGTCAGCACCTCCCTCAGCCGCTGCTTCAATTGAGTCGTGTCCCTTGCTGATATTAATACATCGTTGAAATATGGGACGACTCCCTCGATTCCCTGTAGGAGTCGTTCCATCAGGCTTTGGAAAAGCCCGGGCGCTACGCTCACCCCAAATTGCAGTCTCTTACATTTGAATGCGCCCCTGTGTGTAACGATGGTTTGTGCTTCCGCAGTGGCTTCATCTACGGGCAGCTGCTGGTATGCTTGTGCTAAATCCAATTTTGCGAAGATTCTTCCCCTCCCCAAGGAATGCAAGAGGTGTTGGACTACTGGTACAGGGTATGCGCTTTGTTGGAGCGCCTTATTTAATGTACTTTTATAGTCTCCGCACAAGCGTACTGACCTGTCCGGTTTAATCGGTGTCACGATGGGGGTTTCCCATCTCGCGTGGTCTATTGGCTCTAACACTCCCTGCACGACCAGTTTATCTAATTGTTCGTCTATTTTTGGCTGTAGCGCAAAAGGGACTCTCCGGGGTTTGATTCGGATTGGGGCTACCTGGAGGTCTAAATTGAATGAGATTGGGGACCCTTTGTACTTGCCTAGCTCGTTGTTAAAGACCTCTGAGAACTCCCTCATCAGGTCCTCCTCCCAGGTGTCGTTTCCGATGTGATCGACGCCGGTGATGGCTAGCCCCAATGGCTCGAACCACTCCATGCCCAGCAGGCTGGGCCGGTCTCTGTCCACAATCGTGAGGGGTAGCGTGGCTTTGAATGTCTTGTAGGCTACGTTGAACTTGCCAATGCCTACCACAGGAATTCGGTTCCCTTGGTAGTCGATGAGGGTGAGGCGCTGTCGTTTGAGGTCGCAGGCTGTGATGTGTGGCAGGAGCTTCTTGATTGTTGTCCAGGATACCATCGATAGGCTGGATCCCGAGTCCACCTCCATTCTGCAGGGTCTCCCCTCGATCAAGACTGTTGCCGCCATCTTATTTGCCCTTCCCACGCTGGCATGGCCGATCACGATGGTTTGATGGGTCTCGCCTCGATCCGCCCGATGGTCATCGTTTCTTTGTCCTCGCCCAAACGGTTGTCTCTTCCCACTTGTCTGGAATTTTCTGTTGTTTGTTGCCGATCGGGGGGGTCTGGTCCTCCTTGAGGCTGGCTGGGATGCCCTGCAGACCCTCGCTATGTGCCCTTTCTTTTCGCATCTTTGGCAGATAGCGTCCCGGAATCTGCATTCAGCTCTCGGGTGGTTCCCTTCGCATCCCGAGCACCAGGCCGCTCTCTTCCCCTGTTGTCTCTCCTTGCGATTGGCTCGGAGGTGATGGACTTCATCCTCCTCGTCCTCTTCCTCCGAACCCGATTCCACTCTTTCATAGTGCACGGCCGCCTCCTCCTTTACGGGCGGCCCGCTTTTCATTTTCTTCATAGCCGCCGCCGATTTCTGGGAAGCTTCGGTTGCGGATGCTTCTTCCAAGGCCTCCTTGAATGTAATTTGAGGCCGGGCCAGCAACCTACTCTGTAACGTGAGGTCCCTCAGTCCCAGTACTAGACGGTCCCTCATGGCCTCTTCTAGATTCAGGAAATCGCATGCGGCAGCTATTTCCCGCAAGGTCGCCACGAACGCACTGATTGTCTCTCCCTCTCTTTGGTCCCTCCGATAAAACTCATGCCTTCTTACCAGGGATGATGCTTGTGGTGCATAGTGTGCCTTGAGTATTTCTTGCAACGTTGTCCAGGTCATGGTCTTCAGATCGGCTGGGGCGGCAAGCGCTTTTGCCATTTTAAACACTGCCGGGCCGCAATGGGTGAGGAAAAGGGCCCTCTTCCTCTGCTCTGATAAGCTCAGCAGATCGTTCGCCTCCATGAACATATAGAATCGCTCCATGTAAGCTTCCCAATCTTCCCCGGTTGGGTTGAATGGAGCGGGCGGTGTGATTGCAGACATCACGATAGCCGATGATCTGACCGGTGTTTCGGTGGATCGGATGGGTGGCTGATGATTGCTTGGAGATTGATGTGCAGTCCTGTTCCTTCAGATCCCACCTTCGTCGCCAATGTTAAATCGTGGGCGATTGAAGGAAGACTCGAAACAATGTAACTGTAACTCTTTTATTTAACTCCAGAAACAGCAATGGCGATTCAAACCCCGGGCAACCCTTTATATAGGAAGGGGCTGTCCCCTGGTGCAACCACTGACGTGCCTTCTAATTTCCCGCTCTCAGGACTAATTCCTGATTGGCTCATTTGAACTGTACTTGATATCTAACAGGCAAAACAAGCATTCTCCACCACGTTTTATTGATTGCCAGTTTTCCTTGGGTTTTCCCATTCCTTCCTGGGCTTTTAAAATCACATTGGCAAGGTCTGTACCGAACACCTGGCTACAAACTAGGCAGCTGGATTTTAGCCTAGCAATCCTAAGCCACATTCTAGCGGTAGAGGATGTAATAACAGGAGAAAGCTGCAAAATTGCTCCATTATTTATTCTTGCTTTTAGCAGCAATAACTATGTTCTTTGACATATTTGCTAGCAACCTGCAAGCTGTGAACTTCCCCTTCCCTTCCCTTTCCCCCTTTGGGAAAGAATTCAGAAGTGCTAGCTTTATTTTTCCTGTTAATTACAGTATACTTTGTGGGTTTTTTAAGAAAATGTGAGAAAAAGTTGCGTCTGAAAATTAAAGAATGTATGGATTAAGTTGTGAGACAGTAAAGGGAATTATATGAACTTGTGCACTTCAGTTGCTGACAGGTGCACCACTAATGTTCTAACCTGACACCTGCATGCTCTCAGGTCCCAAAGATTATCTTCATTCTTCATAGGCCACTATTTTGGATTAAAGCGAGTATCCTGAGCTACAGAGGCCATTGGTTTTCTTCTTAAATATATAACAATAAAATAATGAGAACTAAAGGTTCAAAAGGAAGGCAGATTTTTAAAAATGAGACCTTTTGGGGTCTTCAATTCCCTTCCTGTTTAGAGTTCCTTAATAATGTTTGCTCTTCCTTCCTAACATCAATATTCAATTTTCTGGTTTTTCTAGAAAATATTTGAAGAACTGTATTAGTGATTTAACTATCTTTTCTTTTTGGCTGTGTTTCAATTTATATAATATATGTTTAATCAAGGAGGCTTGGAGAGGTAGAAGTGGCCAATATGGACCCTGCACCTTGCCCTTCAGATATGCCTGGCAGATTTCTGGAGAGAAGGAGGGTGTGGTAGGGGAGCTGTGTGAGGGAAGACTGCCCCAACAAGCCTGCATCCTTGCCATGCACAATTAGAAATGGGGATTCCCTTTCGAGAAGGGCCAACCTCCCTTGTGCAGGACCAGGGAGCGCTGCTCCCCTGCATCTTCCTCTTGTTCTCCAGATATCTGTCAAGGCTGTTGGGCTCCAGATATCTGTCAAGTCTGTTGGACTCAGGCAAAACTGCTTCCTGCAAACTTTCTCCTCCATGCTTCCACATGCAGCAGCGTCATCCTCCACCTCTTGCTTTGCTGGGAACGGGCAACGGACAGGGAAACACCAATAATCTCTTGGATGGGGAGAAGAATATCTCCTTTGGCTTGCTATGCATATGCACGCACATACCCCATTCCAAGCTTGGAGACTTTTATCCATAACTGAGCTTACAAATTGCCAATCATGCCTGGACTTGGGGAGAAGGTCCTTTTCTTCCTCTGTGGAGAAAAGTCCCCAAACTTGGAATGCGGTCTGTATGTGTGTATGCGCATGCGGGGCACGCACTTGGCTGCAAGCAATTTGGGGAGAGGACGAACTTGTGGGGCACTGAATTGTCCCCATGTTGAGTTAGCCAGTGCGAGTTGTTGTATCTTGACCCAGCCGTCCGAAATTAGCCACACCCAGTAAGCAGCTTCGAACTGGTCACACCCACCCAGCCATGCCCACCTAGTCATGAAGACCCCGCTACTGACCCTTTGAGGGCAACCATAATGCTGATGTGGTCCTCAATGAAATTGAGTTTGACACCCCTGGTTTAGATAAACTACTGTTTGTACAAAGCAGTTGGGGCTATACTTAGTTATGACTTTAAATAGACACATATTTATTTGATGGATATGATACCTGGAATTCCTTCCCATTAATAAGAACTCCTGGGAACCTTTCTTCTGGGTGAGATCAACTGTTCCATTCCTAAGAATGCTAGATGGGTTTCTTTGGAAGGATGCTTTTCAGCTGTCCGTAGCTAATGATGGAATTAGCTGAAATGACAAAATCGACAAGACAACCAATACTTTTATTAAAGACCAAAAACCTTTTATGTTTTTTTTTTGTTTTTTTTTTTTGCTGAAAATGAAAATAATATCATTTGGGATTTAGGGACTTGTTGATTAAAAAGGGTTGAACAATGTGAAGAAGAAAAATATGTAATTTTAAAGAGGAAATTGTGAAGATTTGTTTGCCAACTTTTATATAGGAAATTAAGAGTCACCTTTTTTACATTCTTGTTTCTATTTGCTTTTTCTTCTTCACAATTTTCTCACTTTTTCACTTTACTTTTTCTTTCTTTGATTTAATTTCACTTTATGTTTATATTTGATATCTGAGAAAAACCTTTAATAAAATTATTAAAAAAAACCTTTAATAAAATTATTAAAAAGAAAGGTGGCTGGATAGAGTCACTGAAGCAGCTGGTAGCTTAAATGGACTATGCGGGATGTAGAGGGGGTAGAGGACAGGAGGGCCTTGAGGAAAAATAAAAAATAAAATACAAATGAATGATCATGACAAATGTCATTGAGTGATAATTTTTTGGTATAGCATAGTTAGTTGTAAATGACTGAAAAAATTCCATCTGTTTAACAGACAAAAAATTATTAAAAAGCTCTAAACATAGGAATGAATATCAAGCACCATGAACAATGCAGTCTAAATCACTAAGTAAAATGTAGGCTATAATAAATTACATCCATAATAATAAAAATCTTAATAATCTGCAAAATTAAAATATAAATATGATACATAAAGAAATTAATATTTTGGATGTACTATCAATTCTTGTATTAGATTGTAGTCCAGGATTGGTTTTCTGTTTAAATTGAATTCTATGCTAGCATTGGTGTTAATGACACATATTCCTACAACTTAATTAGCGATTCTTTCACTGACAGTATCAATGTTTCCAGTAAAAAGCATATAATATTCTTGCAGCAGTTAGCATGAAGGCAGTTAATATCAGTTAATATCAATATACTTTATCGGAATGTGGTCTTTATGTGGTCTGATAAAGCTTAATAAAACTATAGTGGGCTGAAATAGGATTTCAGTTTTAAGATTATTTTATAACTTTATAGCTTTTATAACTTTTTATTTTAACTTTATAGCATTGCCACCAAATATGGGGGTGGGGTGGGGGAACCCAACCTGCTTATCTAGAGTGTTTTAGAAAATGTATTGTTAATTCTAGCAATCAAAACTGTGGCCGTGTACAATTTCATATTGTTTGTTGTTGTTAGCCACGAAGTTGTGTCTGACCCATCGCAACCCCATGGACAATGTTCCTCAAGGCCCTCCTGTCCTCTACCCCCTCTACATCCCACATAGTCCATTTAAGCTACCAGCTGCTTCAGTGACTCTATCCAGCCACCTCATTCTCTTTTGTCCCCTTCTTCTTTTGCCCTCAATCATTCCCAGCCTAATGCTGTGAGTCTTTCCTTCTTCCTTTCCTTCTCATTAGGTGGCCAAAGTATTTGAGTTTCATCTTCAGGATCTGGCCTTCATATTCTTATATCTCTATAATTGCTTTCAAATCCTGAATTGTTTCAATTTTTGTCTTGTTGGATTCTGAATCATGCTTTAATAATTTTCAGATGAGACCTAGAAAATGTACTGAATGTTGCACTTGAACATGTTCAAATTCAATCAGTATTTGAACATGTTCAGTATCTCCCTTTATTGTTGCAATTCTATACTATAGTTTACTATACTACTTTTTGAAAATGCTAAGAGCAAAATGGTTTCCTGAATGAGCTCTGGTGTTTGAGTTCAGAGGCTATCTTAAAATCCTTACTTAAGGATTTAAGTAATTGCAGTTACTTAAAAGTAACTGCAGAATTGGATACTTTATGGTCCAGGAAGCACTTCTAATAAAGTGGAATCATTCTGATGGCAGAAGAAACTATCACAGATCCTGGCCTTAGGATGAGAGATATGTATGGGACTGGTGCTCCACTGGAGGGGAGAATGTGATAAACCTCCAGGTGATTCGATCTTGAAGTATACCATGTTATCTAACATAGCAAAACAAAACTTTTTCTTTTCTTTTTTCTTTTTCTTTCTTTCTTTCTTTCTTTTTTTTTTTTGCATAATGATTAATGTTTTCAGAGTACAATTTTAATGAAACTACCGTGTATATAAATGGCAAGGGGAAGCCTAGGAATTTTCCTTCCATGATTGTATGTTTGAAAATATCTTTTACATCCTATGTCCATTTCCTCAGAACTAAGTGTTTAGAGGTGCTGATATTAATTCCCTACCCCTACTGGCACTCACTTTTTGTCTGTATTTACAAAACATACTTCATTTTAGCCTGCTGTATTATACCCCCTGTAACGAGACGTTCTGCCAAATGAGAAGATTGGATTAAATAAGTAAGCCAGGCATAATATAGAGATTAATAGATGCACAGCTGCTTTCTCAGTTGAAATTAGTATTGAAACCCTATTCATAATTTAATTCTGTAGCTTTCAATGCAGGCTGGATTACATGTGGCAGTCTGGTTTGGAGACAGAAATTTTATTTTATGTATTAAATTAATTTAATTTAGTTTCTAGTTCATTTTTATTAACCTGGTTCTGTCTACTTTCCCATTTGCCCTATTACGTTACTCTTGCCACATGCAGTTTTTAAATGCATCATTATGTACAAGGATGTGACCATTACACTGAATGTGATCCTCAAATTCTAAAGTTTATAGTAGTAATTCCT